TATATACCATTTCGTAGAGAATTGAAAGGCGAATCTTTTGATATAAGAATGATCTCGATCGACTTTGAGGAAGAGAAGGAATTTCAAAAACACTGACAGTCTAATTTATTCTGCGCCACCCGTTATAAATCAAATAATTTTCTAACTTATTTGTAGGATAATGCATAATAACGTATATATTTTAACAAAATGAAATGTATTTAGAAATGCTGACATAGGACTTCACACATTATGATGCTTTTCAGAAAAAGTCATTTTTAAGAGTAAATACCTCTTTTAAAAACAGCATTTTCGATTCTGATTTGAACATAGCCTAATGTAGTAGGAAGTCTGAGCTCGATAATAAGACTACTTCCAGCATTCCATGACCTTTTCGAAGAAAGTTATGAACTTTTTTAATTTTTACTTAAGAGACCGACTTTTACAGTGTCTTCAAAACTATTTCTTTTAGTTATGGTTTGGTAGAGTAATATGTTCTCTTCATAATGAGACATGTTTCAGAAATTTTCAATCGTTTTTTACAAAGATATAATCATCGCCGCAAATTCCACGCCGAAAAGTGCCTCGTCTAATGTTACCTGAAATGCTCAAAACAGTAGTAGTTTCAATCTGTGTATATTATAACCCCATCGATCGTGCTCAAAATTTTACTCCAGATACCTGAGGCAATATCTCAGAATGAAAGTATTTTTTCGTTTCTCACTTTCCATCCTCAAGCGACGGAAAAAATGGTAAAAGCTCTACCAGAAACTTCAAAATTCTGATATTGAAAATCCTCTATCTTTTTTCAGGACATTTGCGGCGATGCTTATATCTTTGCAAAAAACGATTGAAAATTTTTGAAAAATATCTCATTATGAAGAGAACCCATTGTTCTATCAAATCATAAATAAAAGAAACATTTTGGAAGACACTGGAAAAATTTAGAGAATAAAACGAATTGAGTCGGCCTCTTAAGGAAAAGCGTAAAAAAAACTCATATTTCTTTCTTCGAAAAGGTCGTGGAATACTCGTAATCAACGGAATCATGAAAGTACGCCAATATGACTTCTGCCAGCTAGACGTTCGCCAATTGGCGAGCGGTCACGGGATGTACTGGCGAAAGTCCACTTTGCTTTTGCTATTTATGACTCGAGTTGTATTGTCTCTCAATGCAAATCATGTCCTTTTTTCATTTAAAAAATTGTAACTTGCATGAAGAGACCATGCAACTGAATTACTGCAAAAATCCATGGGTAGCATTGGCGAAAATACACTGATAATATTGGCGAAAGTCAAGTGGATCTTCGACAATTAGCGAAATTCCCGTTTGGCGAAATTCATATTGGCGTACTTCCCGATTTCCTAATAAACTATCATGTAGTATAAACTCAAATGCTTAATGTTATGCACTATCATACAAATAATTTATATAAGAACAATTATCGAAGTTAAAATTAAAAAGAACAGAAAATCATCTGCTCACCATATGCCGATCAAATTTTTGCACCCTGTTATTATTATTACACTTTTTTTTTCTATACTTCATATAAAGTTTTTTTCCAACCGGGCTGAAAGGAAAATGATTGTTAGATACTAAGAGTTTCTGATAATTGTTTACATACGCCAGTATTATGGTAACTATTAAAACAATAACAAACAATACCAAACTTATAGAGAAAACGGACCAACCGGGTGATCCTAAATAACTAGTTATGATATAACTCAATAACATATTGTTAAAATAATGGTCATATTTACCTGTTTTATACGTCAAACATTTTTCATTATTATTCAAATCATCGATTGAAAGTCGACAAGATAAACATATCTCATAACTTGTGCGAGACGTTAAATTTTCAATTGAAATTGTACGACTTTGAGTATCAATTAGTTCCTGTCAAAAACAAACTGTGAAATTGAATTTTCGTATATTAATGAACATTACTTGTTTTTCTCGTGATGAATTTGGTAACAGTTTTGTAATTGAACCTTTACAATATGGTTTTTTACCCTTATAATCATCGATATTGTTCGTCATGGTTAATTCTATTGTAGTTGGTGATTTTTTGATAAAATGATATTCTGGCTGTATTCGATGAACTATGTAAGATTAAGAGAAAATTTTAGTTATTGAAATTGAATTGAACGATGTAAAAAAGCTTTCTTAGCTAGTCAATACTTACTGGTTGGTATCAAAAAATGGATCTCAAAAGTTATGATTCTTATAAATAAGTGTTTCATAGTAAGAGAAACGTATTACAATAAAAATCGAAAAAGTCACGGTTCATGATATTTCTACGAAAACTAATTCTATTAAAACTGACATGCATTAGAAATGGTTGCTTCTGCAAACACAAAAATTTATATTACATTTTGAGAAACAATAGACGACCAGTGAAACCGGAACTGAAATTTATTTTACACAAAGGTAGGATATCATAAAAAACCGCCCAAAAGCGTTGTGGCATCCGAAGACATCCCATGATAACCTAAACTAAAAAGTTTCTAAGAAGAATCGCTTTTATAACACATACATTGTGAGAGAAAACATCTGTGATGTATTTTAAGAAACAGCACAGATTTAAACATAACAATTATTGAAAGCCTAGATAATCTCTTAACATACGTTTAAATATGGATAAAGAAGACTGACATACTAAAATCGATGGATGTTCATTTTATTCTTTTGAGCCACGTGGAATGAACGAGCAGGATGCAGATTTTGACTTGAGACGAGGAATGAAAATGATAACATTATGATCTAATCAAGAATTTTGACGCATAGTTAGCGGTGAGATCAAATCAAAAGATGAGAGAGGACTTTTATTATAAAATATTTTATGAAATACAGAAGACGATAGTAAAGATGTCTATTAGAAAGTTTTCGAGTTTTTTGACCAAATAAGAAGTATTGATGAAGATTTTAATAGTTTCTATTAAAGTCTTGTGGAAGAATTCTGCTGGAAAGACACTGAATTTTGTTCAGAATATTAAGGTGAGAGCTAAAGGTTGAATTATAGATAACACAAGCATATTCGAGCACTGGTCTTACACAAGTTTTATACAGATGCAACGTAAGAACAAGGAAGATTCTCGAAAAACTCCAAAAATAGAGCCTAACATTTGCCGAGCTTTTGTTGAAACATACTCGATGTGAGATCTCCACGTTTAATAGAGGAAAGATAATAACACCAAGTAGTTTGAGAGATGAAACTCGCTTTATATTAATGTTTTTTATTGAAAAAGTGAGCGATGGAAGTGTTTTTTGTAGAGTTAGAAAATAAAATCCATTGACATTTGTTAATGTTCAATTTTACCTCATTTATATCACACTAAAGAAGAAGCTGATTGATATATTTTTGGAAAAACTCCAGTTGAGAGAGAAACAGAGAAAATATGGTGTACTTGCGGTGAAATGACATCAGCAAAAAGTTTTAAACTTTTGGCTGGAATTTTATCAGTACCTAAAGAAGTTTTGTTTTTTAAACTATTTATAGCTTGGAAAGCATTGAATACATCAATATGAATTTCTGATAAACTTTGAGAAGATGATAAATGAGAGCTGATAAATGTTGATGAAAAAGTAAAAGGTTGTGAAAAAGTGATTTGAAAGAAAGAAAATAGTAACTCGACTTTAGAAGAATCATCACTGGCTGTGGAAGAATTGCGCTGTATACAAGCTGGCAAGTTTTCAATAGGATCACGCTACTTTTTTATCGCTGACCAAAATCGCTTACTATTCAAGAAATCGTTCATGATAGATTTAAATAATCGTTTTTTTATCAGCACGAATAGAACTAATAACAAGATTACGATACTTTATTAAATAATCGCGCAGGATGCTGTTTTAACTTTGATTTTAGAAAAGCTAAATTTCTCTTTTTCTAGGAGAGAGCGAGTACGAAGTGAAAATGTAAATATCTTTCATCATGTTTAAAAATAGAAACAGATTTCATAAGGACACATTGTTAAACGATTGACATAAAACAAGGATCGTACCATACGACAAGCGCGTCATTAGTATCATTGCATAAACTTTGAAAAATTTAAAGTAACGCTAGAATATTTCGTTCTCTGAAGCATAATCTGAGTGATTTCATTGATCGCTATAGTCCATTCTAGCTAAGAAAGTAACAGCTGTTAACTGCAAATTCATCGCGTATGTTAGATTAATAAATAATGTGTTTGTGTGTTTATTTGTGCATTAAATACCTGGCTCCATTCGAAATTTATATACAGATGAATTGAATAATTTTATTGTTACATTCAAAATCATGACAACAAATTCGGGTATTTGACTAGATATGGTTGGATAAAGATAAAATACAAGATCATCATTGACTATATTATTCAATTCAATATTGTGGAAATATTTTGGATCAGAGCTAAACAATCGAAAAAGATTTAAATGATCTCAAAAAGATAAGATACTTACTATTAAATTGAGCAACTTACTAATGTCTCTTTTCTTCAAATTGAAATATGTGTGGAAATCCATTTTTGAATGCTTGACTAATCACTGGTGCAGTGAATACACATTCAACGAGTGTACGATTTATAATAAAACAGGTATCTTTTAGAATTATAGAACCAGGTTGGTCTAAAGTAATGATCATTCATTAGCAGATTTTTCACATTTCTACAAGTATAAACAGTCTAATTTCTTTCATTAATTTCTACACATCTCTAGTTTTTCAAGGCACAATGAATTTTCTATCTCTGCTATATATGAGCGTCAATTCTGGAAATTTAGATAGTTTTTCGAATTTAGATCAACTTAAATAATTATTTCATATGCGGTCAAGCAGTGTTGGACTATCACACTAGAACGAACATACGATGACACCATACAACATTCAATCACATTTGTTACTACCATTTTCAAAATATCCCTAGTAGCATTCCCGCTTCATAAAGCATAAAGCAAGAATAAAGCCTCATCTTACTGCGATTTTGACAAGAACTTTAAAACTTAACGTGAGATCGCTACCGCGATCGCACATAATCTTGCTATTTTTCCCGTATAACGATAATCTTGCCGCGAATTACCCACGATCTTGCTATAATCCTGTCGCGATTCCGTCACACTCTTGAATCACAAATCGAACGGGATCGCATAATGAACTTGATCAAGAACACGATTACAATTATAAGATCGCGATTTTATTTTGCCAAGATCAGCATTTTTTCGTTACACGGGAAAACATCGCGTTCGCGGTCACATCTCAGCAAGAATGGAACGGGAATACCACTAGGGATAATGCTGATCACTGTCTGTTAAATAACTCGGTAAAGAAAAGAGATAAAAAGTTCGGATTTTCAGTATTTTGAAGCCAAAACTTTAACGTGTATTTTTATAAAAAATTAGTTTGAAAATATTTCCAGATTCTGAAGGAATCTTTGGAAAATCTATTAATATTTCCAAACTTTGAAATGACAATACACTTGATTGACAGACGATGTACTAGCTGATTTCCGTTAGCAATGTTTGTTTCATTAAAACTTTCAAAATGTTTCTCTTAAAAACTACTACTTTAGGTGAAATAATCCATTAAGATTTATTTTCTTGCAAAATTAAAGTTTTAACAACTTATTCAAAATCGATTCAAAACATTACAATATACTGAAGTCTAGATGTTTTGAATGATGATATAGTTAAGAATGCGAAAACAATCTACTAGTATTTTCAAAGTTAGTCAAGAAATTTTTAATGTAACAAACATTGCCATAGGACTCACTATGATCCATAACGTATTTCTCAGTTGTTTTAGAACTCCTCATATCTCATGTCACTTCAATCATGAGACTTTTAATTAATCCGATATGATATCTTAGCCATGATAGATGAAAAATTCAGACAATTCCCATCTTTTAGAGAACACTTTAGACTGTCTGTCAATCAAGTGTATTGTGAGTTAAAAGTTTGGAAATCTGAATAGATTTTCCAAAGATCCCTTCAGAATCTGGAAAAGTATTTTCAAACTAATTTCCTATGAAAATACACGTTAAACTTGTGGTTGTTGTTTATAAGCAAAAAGTAACAAAACAAACATATTAACTCGATTTCTAAGCTGTTCGAGACTGTATACGGCTGATTTATTGATGAATGTTTACAAAAAACGAAAAAATTTATGTTTATGTTATACAGATAGAAAAAGGAGGACTGACAGATGCTTTTTGTTAGCTGGAGTTTTGTTTAAAATATGCAACCTTCGGGGTATGTGAGAAATAATTTTAAATTTAGTCTTATCTTGAGGAAATTCTGGCGAAAAAAATCAAATGACTGTCTGTGAGAACGAAGAAAATTTGCGGAAAGTGAAAAAACATGTCTGTATCTTGAGACTAAACGTTGTATCTAATGGCTTTGGGAGTTTTTGTTTATTATCCGGTGAGATGAATGCCAGATGTCAACCAAACCAACAGTATTAGTCTACTGGTACAGGATAGATAAATATTTTGCCCATTATCGAAAAAGAAATTAGTGTCGAAATAATAACAGCCATAAACTTGTTTTAAAATAAAAGACATATAAGCTGCAGACCTGTTCTTGCGCGTGAGATAAAAGAAAATATTGATTATTCAAACGAAATGGGACCGAATGATCCAAATCAGTTTAAAACAAATATGGCTCCTAAAACATTTTCTGTTCCTCCTTTTCAACCTATATTTTGTCTCATTTTCTTTTGCTGTTAAAAGTTCAGTTCAGTCGCAGCCATCTCAGTTAACTCCAACTCAAACAAATTTTGCTTCTTCTTCTGGTTGAATTTCAAAGCAACTAAAAGATTTGCAGCAAAATAATAAAGACGAGCCGATCGTTCCAGCTATACAAATAGAAAAGCTAAAGATATCTGCTGAATCTACCCAAATCAAACTAGATCAAGTTGCTCAGGTTTTTAGCACCATTATTGTGCCAACAATCAACATGATATCTTCCACTATGTTTAAAGCCGTTACTAATCTGCGACCAACAGACAATGACCTGATGTTTTTGTATAATGTAACAAGCAGCTTGAATGAAGCAGTCTTGTTACATTATACAAACTTGTTTTCATTCAATATCGGACATTGTCTCATCTCATATTCCTCCTTCACCAGTTGTTAGTGTAAGTGTTCCACCAGTACTCTATAGTCTACGTCCTACTGGTCAACCGAATGCATCCAGTCATAATACTAATAATAACACGTTACAGCCTTTGCTTCAAAATGCTGAAAACCCAAACTTTCTATCTCTTTTCTTTATCGAGTTATTTAGAAGATAGTGACCGGCACTATATTTTAAAAACGCTAGAGTAATCACACAAAATTTTTGAATTAACTTGATAATCTCTTTTCGATACTGCGATATTATTTTCATATTGATAGTTAACTACAAGAAAAGATTACCATAGTGTTCATGTTTATATTGAAGGCGAAAAAAGAAAAAATAAGCTGGATTTTTACCATATGCTATCCAAATACTATAAATCGCTACAAAAATTATGAATAACGTAAGAAAATGTTTTCAAACGTTGCTGTTTTTCAATACTACATACTAATGTCGCAAGATACAACGCTAAATTCGACTTCAGCATATATAACAAATGGTTTTTAGACAGTATATATTTGAAAATAACTAACAATAACTTTACCTAACCTCCTATTATAACATCGGCCGTGTCTCCATATTTTTCTTCTCCTGTACTAAAACAATTTAAATTAAATATTCCTAGATAACCATTTGATTTTAAATGAATCATAGCCAATGTTGAATTCAATATTTCGATATAAATTTTTAATAAATTAGAGTCAATTATTCTTGATGTAGAAATGTTAAAAAATTTTCCATCTGGTTGAAATTTACGACAACTAATCGTTTTTTCACTAGTAGAATTCATTAAAACATAATTGTCATCTAAAATAATTAATTGACAAGATGAATAATAATGAAAATGTATGTATTATTGAAACAAACCTATTCTTATATTTGATACATAATCATTTGAATAATCCTGTAAAGTTGTTTCTACATACAAGAATAATAACGATATTACTAATACAATATTCCACATGCTACAACGATTTCTAATGAAAAAAATTGATGACACATCACACCATTTTCAATTGTAAGTTCAAAATGTTATTGAGGCTATAGAAAAATGTGTCATTTGCTATTTTTTTCAATTTTCTTTCTTTATTTTCTTTGTCCAAGGTTATTGCATGATTTAAAACAGTACGAAGTATCTCTTATGACACCTATTGTCAATAAATAAAAAAGAAAAGTACAATTGTCGATTTTATTGGATATAATCTTAAACAATGAATTATTTAAACTTCATATTTATTAGTCACTATCGTTGTACATAAATTTATCAGAAAAAAAGTTGAGTTACAGTTTAGCATATCGCATTTGTTCGCACCTTCACTAGATTCAATGGGGTATTTTGTGTTCTTTTTCTTATTTTTTCTAAGAATATAACGAGCTTATACAAGAAAAAATAAAATGACAAAATAAATTTATTTCTTTTTAGCTTATTATTTTCTACAGGCAATATAATGTAAAAGAGAGTATGACGAAAGGAAAAAAAATTGTCATATTAGTCATTTATAATTTGGTATCAATGTTGTTCATATAGAAGTCCTAAGAATGATCGTATAAAAATGTTATTCTTCATTTAATACACGGTAATATAGACCATACACTGAACTGAAATATTATTATCCATTAAAATAAAACTATTAATATGTCTCGATTTATCTAATTGTGTTCATCTTTTCTCAGAAAAAAACAACAAATAATTTTGATTATTGATATTGACATAAGACATTTTTTTCATCTTTTATTAAAAACCGTCTATGACGTCATTGTTTTACTTTCTTTTTCATATTTAATGTTAAAAAAAGATAAACATATTAGCCGGTTATATGACTCTAAATAGCAGAAAGAAAACTTTACACGTGAATGTCATCAATGTGTAATGATAAGCATCATTGCTATGTTAATATAGTCAGGTGATGTGAAAAACATCGATAATTGATCACAATCGATATCATAGTGAAAGTGTCTAAAATTTTTCATTGAAAGAATACCCAAATAAGTGAACAATCCTCTGTACGCCACGTTTTATAAAAAGAAAAAGAATATTTCATTTGATTTGAAGTACAATTATACGTTAATTTGCACGTCTCTTCTTAACAAATATTCATATTTGACCTCCGCTATTAACTAATAACCAACCTAACGCAATTTTAAGATACTCTTCAGCAACATAAAAAAATTTTTCTTCTATTGTATGTTCTTTCAATGAATATTTTTTCACAAAATATTAGACATATTAAAGTATGATTATGATAATAATCTTCGTCTTATATCTTAGAAAAATTCATTACGCATCGAACAAAAAAAAAAATTGATTGCTGTATGATAAACCTTAACACTTAATAGTGCTGATAAAAAAAGAAAAACGTATTTTAAATTTTTTTGTATGTTATTTTGGCTGGCTTAATAAAGTTGAATAAGCTCCAATAATTCAGATGTAATAATAATTCAAAAGTTGCACGGGCTTGCAGAACATACTGTTTTGGCCAGGAGACATTGCTGTACAACAACATATTGTCTTTCAAAACTTGGACTGTTTTCTGTAAAACGAGTGGTTTATCAGTAATTTTTGAAAGTTTCTAAGTTACAACACCAGAAAAAATGTTTGTTGTAACGCCAAATAGTATGGATTCTCAAAGTACACACTTAAATATGTACTCAAAACGTTTTTTTGAATTTGGACTTGAATCACTGATATGAAGATACCTTTAAAAATTGCTCTCGTCTGTGTTTAATACGTTGATTAGGCTCTTCGTGTTTGACATCCCATGCATCCTAAATACGCACTAAAAATAATTTGTATTTTATTACTAAAAATATTTATGATGAATTTGTTTATCACACAATATTCATAATATATTATTAAAAAATCTCGATAAAACTGATAGTTATCGACTTTCGTTCCATCAATTGATAGAAAACGACACGAGCTATTGCGCGTATGCATCGTTAATGATAGTGTTATGATACTACTACACATGTCAAAATAGAAGTTATCCATCTTCATCACTTCGTTATTGTATATTTAATTAATTCGCTATGAAATAAATTCTCGCCAGTAATTTCAACGATGTAACATTAGAAACATAAAGAAAACGTACTTGTACAAAAATAAACGGTTGCAGACTATTTTTATCGAATATAAAAAAACTCACATCTCACTCAAAAATCATTACAATCATAGGGCATATAAATGAAAAAAGTCGTTCGAGGGGTGCCGCGAGTACTCGAAAATAGGTCATCGCCGAGAACTTGAACCCTCGAAAAATGGCACTTCGGACTCTCGATATAAGCTTTCGAGGAGTTATCGAGCCCTCAGATTTCAGGTAGATAGCGAGCCCTCGAGACAAATATCGAGCCACCGAACAGAGATGTTCGGGACTTCCGAGTCCTTGGCGCACCCTCGGGTGAGCGAGGGCCCTGAAGTCCAGAACATCGCACCTTCGGGCGACGAGGGCTCTGAAGTCCCGAACATCTCTGTTCGGTGGCTCGAAATTTCTCTCGAGGGCTAGCTATCTACCTGAAATCTGAGGGCTCGAAATCGATAAACCCTCGAAAGCTTATATCGAGAGTCCAAAGAGTCGAGCCCTCGGCGAGGGTCCATCGAAAGCCTATTTTCGAGCACTCGACGTATCCCGCGAACAAGTGGTTGGGTAATCTGAAGTTTTTAAGTGATTCATATGCTGAGTAAAAGTGCACAACTTTAATCATTGTACAGAATATAGACACAGAGCATTGAATTTAGTGTTGCAGTTTACTGCAAAGCTAAGTTCATATGTTCGAACCTGTATTCATACAAAATTAATTTTGTGCTTTTTGATAGTTTTAGTTTAGAATACTATAATGGAATATTTTACGCTTTTATTCTGATAGAATAAAGCTTATATCAGAATTATTAAATGCGATGAAATTGGTGGTCTAATTATACCAAATTTCTATTAAACCATCTTTCATAACGGAAGACCACCCCCATTGCTGATGAGTTTCTACTCAGATTCCTTCCACAATTCTTGACCAAAAATCGACTTGAGTTGCTTGCTAAAATAGGAGACCATGGTAGTCTTCTATTAGGAGGGGGGAGAGTTTCTTAACTTTGATATTCTTGGATATGAAAGAATGAGTAACAAAGTTGGTCATATAGTACATACTGCTATAAAGTTATTTTCTTTAACGTCCTCCATGTAACGTTCTATTTTATATATAAAATCTTCTTTTGTTATATCTCCAATATTTGGATCATACATCGTGTACTTTTTATGCTGTTCAAGTTAAGAATAGAATGTATCGATGTTTGAGCCGATGTTTGAGCGGGGTGGAATTTGTACCAGATAGAACATCGAAAAAGAAAATCAATGTATTTTGGCCCAGAATTTTCTGAGATGTTCTTCTTTGGGTTTTCTAGAAAACTCTAGTTTCCATCAGGTCACATTATGACACCTCGAAAAAATGGTCCGGCTGAGATGAAAGGTTTATCATAGATACTGCAAACCATATCTCAACTTTGTTGTTTTTCTTTTCAAAAATATGCTTTTCTTCTTGAAATATTCGAAAAATACTAAAAATCTTGTATGAAAAACCGGTTTTTTATTCTTCTAAAGGTTTAATTCTATTAACGAAGAGAGTTGAAATCGAAACGCTTTAAAAAAGAAACTAACCTGAGATAGAGTCTAAAGTATCTGTGGTAAAAATTTGAGCTCGATGGGATCATTTTTGCGAGGGGTCGTAATGTGACTGGATTGAAGGGGCTATCGAAAAAACGCATGGTGAGAAAAACACGTATTGTATACAGGGCTCTGTTTTTCAGGGCATTTGCAGCGATGCTTATATCTCCACAAAAACACATCAGAACATTCTGAAAAATACCTCATTTTGAAGAGCACACTTTCTTCTATCATGCTATTTATAAGAAAAGATTTTGAATATATAGGAAAGGAGAAAAAAGTTTACGAAACTAAAAAATTGAAATTTCTAGGCTTTGCAAAAAGCAAAAATCTAAAAACTTCATAATTTTTTCCAGGAAGGTTGTGGAGAGCTGGGAGCGACCTCATTTTGTAGCCCAGATTTTCCTCCACATAAGACTATGTTTAGCTCAAAATGGAGCGTTTTTTGCAAATAAGAGAGGAGAGGTACTCTTAACTTTCTGTTTTTACTAAAAAACCGCTGTATAATTTTTTACAAAAAACTTATTAAGTAGTTAATTACAAAATGTGAGAGTGAAACGTTCTACTAACCTAAAACTCTGTTTTTTTTCTTTTGTTCCTTTGACTGTTGCGAAGAAAGATAAAATCTACCCAGCCAGTTTGTAGCTCTTGTACCTTCTTCCTGCGATTTAAATTTTTCTGTATGACAACTGGTTAAAATTTTTTGCTTTGATATTTTATCTTGGTTTGTTGAATCAGACATCCTTATTTATGGAAAATAATTTCGCATCGTTGCATAAAATGTTCATAACTTGTACAGAATCAAAAATCAGCAATTTGTGTAGTTTTTATTTCAAGAAGAGAAGAAGCATGTCTATTATATTTGATTACAAAAAAACTCAAAAGCTTTCTTTCTTCCAGCATGCTCAGTCAGTGTAAAAATCAAAAGTGCATCGTTATTTACAGAATCTCAATAAAAATTGCTTTTTGTGTTAAAAGATCTTTGTTATTCACGAGAAGAAAGAGCACACTTGACACTATGTTAACTTAAAGGTGTTGTCTAATGTAACTGATTCCTGTATCGAAATTTAAAAATAAAGTTGAATGCGCTAAGCACTTTTAGAACATGTTGGACAGCTATGTTTAGAGAAGGTCAATAAACGTTTTAGATTGATTTAGATTGAACAAATTGATATAATGTAATCCATCGGACTGCAATTTCGATTTCTTTAAGATCTTCTTCTACTCTCAAATAAAGTTTACACCAACAGTTCAGGGTAGTACGGACAGAAATATACTTCCCAAAAGTATACATAATTTTCCAATCAATAACTAGAAATTTTGAAATATATGCGGCTGTAACACCCTTAACTTTTTTAACTCTTTTATATTTGTAACCCTATTAACCCTTAACTTTGTTCAACATAATTAAGAGTTTATTCAAAATAGAAATTTTCGACCTATTTATACGGTCGTTGTCAAGTATGCATCAGGTAATTATTATATTAACGTATTGCTACTATATTAATTTACCAAAAATACGCAACTGTATATACGACTGCGTCAAACTATTTTTCTTTTTTCTCTCCCATGCGTATCAAATATTACCAGAATATTAAATTACTTTCTACCTATCCAAACGAAAAAATGAGAATGAATAACCTTATGAGAATACTTTTGACATCTTGCCAGTTTTTGAGTCATTTTCTAATGAAACCCCATACACGTAAGAATGGGCTATATAGGAACATTTAATAATAGCTTAGGAAAGTTATATGATCAAACAGATGGCGTCTCAATGGGTGGACCACTGCACTGCACTGTTGATGGTTGACTTGTTTATGTCAGATTTTGACGATAAATATCTACCGTCTCTAAAACGAAGTAGCATGAAGTTCTGGTGTAGATATGTAGATGATACGTTTGTGCTTTTACACAGAAATTCCGATCCGTTTGTGATTACTGCCTTTTCATTGCGTTTTCTCACGTCAATGTCCTTTACCTTTGAATTAGAGAATACACAGTAAAAAATAATGTGTCGCATATTTGCTTCGCCGTTATTAAGAACTTTCAGAAACAGTTCTTGAAGTCATTTCAGGACCTACTCTGCTCAAAAGGTTGCTAAATTTTATATTATTCTCAGCAGTTTTCATTAGGATTAATGTCAGTTTCTCTTCAATTTTGATGAGCTATAAGTGGCGCCAATACGTAAAAGATAAAAGCATTTTCCGGCTTTTCACATTCTTTCAATTTCGAATCCATCTTATTCGTGAATAAAGATCCTTCTCTAAGTCTTTTTAACCTTTTTCCACGTTAAACATTTTTCTCTGACGAAAAACAATTAATTCAAGGTTCTGACTACGCTATTAATCCCAGATCTCGAAAACTAAATATTTTGAAGACTGTGAATAGCACAGGCAGATTGAGCTCGTCAATGTTATGTAGTGCACCCAAAACGAACTTAAAATATTCTTAAAATCGGATAAGAAATCAAAAATGCTTAATTTCCACTGTTTTCTCTATGGTACAAATACTCAGCGGAATGTGTCACATAAAAATATGTTGCAGCCTCAACGTAAAACGTGTGTCGCAAATCTGCTCCCGATATCGCAGATGATTGTGTCGCAGAATATGTTTCGATTTGCGACATGTGCGTCACATTGTTTTTTACCGCGTAATAACTGTGCCATACCGTTTCTAGACGTTCAGATAACTCGACTAACGTCAGGCTACAACAGCATACTGGAAACTCACTTTTACTGGTCTTCTCCCAAAATGGAATTTTCATGTACCCATTTCATATAAGCGTAATGCTGTTAGCACGATGATTTATCGAGTAATTTGTGTTTGCTCCACT